AATTTATAAAAGTTTTTTATGTGTAAAAAGTTATGTTATACAAAACCTTTTTTGTGTAAAATTAAATGAAAAATTATAAAATGGTACCAAAATGCCGTAACTCAATGGGGGGCTGTTGCATTTGTCATTATTATAATGAGTCATAACTGTAATGCGTGTGCTAAAATTTATTAGTATAGTAAATTTAAAAGTAAACTACGTACACGTCATCAATAAAACAAAAATTTTACGCATTGGTACCAACACTAAATGACTAAATCGAAGTCTGTAATTGCATATTTGAATGCTTTTTAAACATCTTCAGTTGGCAACAATTAAGATGTTGTCATATTTACATTCAAATATTTCATATTTAAATGACACATAAAAAAGAATTTGACGTTTTAGAATTTCGAAGCTGTCAGTTGTGTTTTTGAATATTTCGTTTAATTCGTGTATTATTTCGTTTGTTTTGTTTGTTGTTTGTGTTATTTTATATCGTTTAAGTTTTCATTGCCGTTTTTGTGTTTGTTATATATCGTTTTTTGTGTTTCCTATATTTAAAATGCCGAAGCATTTAAATAGTCGGAGTCAAGAGTTGGTGTCATCCTTAATACGCTATTTTGAGGCAGAACGGGATAATAATGGACCTTTGTTACCTTTAACAGCCCATAGAGAGGTAAATAGGATTTTTATTAATTATATATTAGAATATTTAACAAAATATATGTTGGATACATAAAATAATAATATACCAGAGACTGACTTTAGATGGCAAAATTTTTGGGTTTTATATCAGAAAATGTCTTTAAAAATGGCTAAAAACATACTTTTGGCGGTGAATCATATAGGTTATAAAAACTCAGACTTTTGACATTTTGGTATTATTCATGTAAACGCCATCTATCGCCCTGTAGTTGCACTACCACTTTCCCTTGATGCAAGGATTTTAGCATCACATTGACAACCGTGCCCGATCAGCTGATTGATGACGTGTACGTAGTTTACTTTTAAATTTACTATAAGTTCAAATTGCAACTGAGATAAAAGTAAAATCTAAAGTGCAATCTTTAAAGGAGCGTAGCTACTTAGCATTTTTGACCACATATTCTTAAGAACTTTTTTTTATTTTTTTTTTAGTTTTTTAATAGTTGGTTTAATTTTTCAGACAAATAAAAAAACTGCATTTATAATTGGTTATAAAAACAGTAGTCAACATCTAAATCTCCTGCCTATTTTGTTCAGTTTTGGGGCTTTTTTTATTTTTAAGTTCCGTACCTATAACTTATTTTTTTCACTATCTCTATTTAATACACCGTAATAAACTTGTTTAAATAAATTAAAATGTATTATCCGAATATATAAGTATATAAATTGTTACACTCCCTACTTTGGAAATGCAGTGTATTTTGCTTGTTGAGTGATTCTTGGTATTCTTCCAGGAAACTCTTTTTCAGTTCGAAAGTTTATAAATTTGCGGTCTTATTGTTCGATGGGTCAGTTTATTTCCTTTATACAAAAAAGATTAAAATTTCCGAAAACAACCCAAATGAATGAATTCCATTCTTTATAAGCTGTCTTGGATGCCACTATAAGTCATGGTTTGGTCATGTGTGAGGCTTTTTAAATCGAAATTGTTTGACCTGGATTTTCTATCAGAAAGAATAAGCAGAAGTATTGTAGCGATTTATAAACTGAATAACCACTTCCCCTATGCAGAAAACGTACCTATATATCCGCGAGAGTCATGAAACGGCGAAATTACCCTCTTACCTACGTCGTATTTACTATCCACTCTACACCGATTCTTTACATCTGCCATACCGGAAATATATTCTTAGTTTTTGAAAGCATACCTTCAGAATTCTTTTAGTAATGCAAAAAGTATTTTTATTACTTGCTTTATTAGTGAACATACTTTGTACACTTTAACAAGGAGTAATAAGTATTTTTGAACGTGAAAACAATATATTTACATTTAAATAAATGCTCATAAATCATTTTCTTTACTTTCACTGTGAAAAACTGTTAATAATCCATTTTTATGGGATAAATTTCGATTTATAACACATAAAAACTTGACGGTGACACAGATTTCCCTATTGTTTTATAGATGTATTTAATTTAAATTATTTTAAGACAATAGTAAGTATTTGTCGTAGAAAAGTATATACAGCCCGTTCAGAGTAAAACCGAATATAGGAAAACGTTTTGGGCGTGGCCTCGCCTTCCTCGAACACGCGACACAGTAGCTAAGCAAATAGCCTGCATCGCTAATGAGATTTTTTGCATTATTATCATTTAATTTTTAAGGTCGTCTTACCTGCTTGACCTTTCGTCTTGTCGTTTATCACACAAGCTACTGTGACGCGCGTTGGAGGGAGGCGAGGCCACGCCCAAAACGTTTCCCTATATTCGGTTTTACTCTCAACGGCTAAAACTCGTTTATAGTTGTCGCGGCGAATGTTTCAAATTGCGTCATCAAATTCTGAACCAAGCACATTGCAATAATATTTATTGGTTTTTTCTTTTACTTTTTCTAGGTTAACCGTATGTCGAGAAATCGGTTTTTGACATTTGATATTGATGAAGCAATTTGAAACATTCTCCGCGACGACTATATAAACTTTTCTAGACACTCATTAATATAAGCTGACGTTTATCAAACTTGATGCACAATATATCATTATCTACTCCTACATTGGCGTTTTAGACACGGGCTGAAGTTAGATGTATATGACATATACTATAATTAATTAATATTATGTTTTATTTATTATTTTAGTTAAATTCGCATAAAATATAATAATAAAGTCATTTAAAACCTTTAGATAGTTGTATTAATTACAAAACAGAACATGTACGGTTTTACAACTACAAATTCTCAAGGGGCATTTGCAAGGTACTGCTATGTATATTAATCAACAAGCATAATGGGAGATAATTAGGAATCCTAAATTTCTAAATACTAACAATTTATAATATTTAACTTGATTTGTATAATTAAATTATACTAACCATGATAAATATTATAAATAAACGAAAACCTTAAAAAAGTCGTTCGTTATTTTTATTGTTGTAGCATTAGCTAACTCATAAATTCATATAAAACATTTGTTGCTCAGGTAATGTTATTTTTTACAGTGAGACTAACCCCCTGCCCACCCAACCAATCCCTTGTCTATGCAGTGAAATGTGTTTAAAATCTTTAAATGTCTATTTCTTAGTTCAACAGAAAATGAGTTACTATAACCTTCGTTGCATGGATCAATTTTGTTTGGGTATATTCTTAGACCCTTTAACACTGGACGTGTAAACAAACACGATTTGTGGCTTCAAGATGTGTTTGACAGTTGTTTGGTGTTTTGTATTGGTTAGAGTCATTCTTTTTAACAAAAACAATCTAAAATCGTAAAAGGATGCACAGTTGTGGACCACAACTTGGTGAAAAAATACAGCGTAAATGAGATAGAATAACGTACATTTACCTTTAAGTCCTTTTTGTCATTGGCGTCCCATGGAATTTCGTCGACATGTTTTTATTAAATTTTGGATCTTATAATTATAATACCTTAGTATTCAGTTAATACATTTTCTTAAATTGACCTTTAAACTGCTCTGCCACTGTACAGTAGCCCAACAAATGCGATAATTTTGACACACATTGCTCGTCCAGTGTTATAAGGTTATAAGGTTAGGCATATTTAATATAACTAAGACAATAGTCATAATCATAATCATAAAAACCATAATAAGACATTTGTGGTCCTACCATTAACGCTTTTATCCACTCCTACATTGACAAGCTGTAACTTTGTGGCGTTTTAGTCACGGGCTGAAGTTAGAAACAATAGCTTTTAAGCTTTTTAATTACGGGATGAAGTTTTATTATAAATTGGGAAAAAGTGAGGTTAAATTCAGGTGATAGTTGACAGATATCAATTTTTTTTAGATAAAGTATAGTATGTAACTCGTTTATAAACTTGCCTAGACACTTGTTTTTATTAAACCCTGGGTCACAAGCTTCGTAACTAAAATGGTGTTTATAAAACTTGATACATAATATAGTACTATACTATAATAAGATATTATGTATCAAGTTTGATAAACGCCATTTTATACACGAATTTAATTTAGGCACGAGCGAGCTTGCGAGCGAGTTCTTAAATTAATGAGTGTATAGAAAAGTTTATAAACGAGGTGCATACTATACTTTTTCTACGACAAATATTTATTATTATCTTAAAATGATTTAAATCAAAAATTTGTATAGAGCGCCATCTATGAAACAACAGGGGAAACTGTCAACTGTCACATTTTTACATTTTATAAACACAATTATTATAAATCGAAATGTATATTGAAAATTGATAGTTTTTCACAGTGAAACTAAAGGAAATGTTTTATGAGGACTTTACAGTAGAGTCCGTGCCCGAATTTAAGTTATAGTTTACTGCCGGCGAAATTAAAAGGTCAGTACAATGTTCATATAAACGTTTCAAATATTGGCGTTGAGAAACTATTTAATGTTTTTGTATTTTTGTATTGAGATAATAAAATAATTTTCACATTAAGTATTATTTTACAAGAAAGGCACTTTATTTTAACGATTGTATGACATTTGACAACTGTCAACTAACTTAAAACTAACTTCAGCCCGTGACTAAAAACCTGTTGCTAATTTCAGCCCGTGACTAAAGCGCCGTAAAGCCACAACTTGTCAATGTGTATTTAAAAGGTTACTTAGTGTCATGGAAACATGTACAATAAAGGGCGTTTTAAAGGTGGGAGTAGAAAAAGTTATTTACGAACATATTATTTCCATCCTATAAGATGGATGTTCGTAAATAACAGAGTGACTATTTTTTACGTGGAATATGATTAAATTAAACATTTTGTAAGGTGTTAAGTTGGTTTAAATTGACTAATAATAATTATTAGTCAATTTAAACCAACATAATATAATATAATTATTTTAAGTAGAAATTTACATAATTTTAATAAATAAAATACTGTTTCAGGGATTCGTAGCATTTAGTTCACAAGGAGATCGTATTGCATTAACTCAGATAGAACAAGTAATAAACAATACCTACGTGGTGCTGGGCTATTACGATACACAGGCAGATAATCTCACATGGTTTGACAGAGAAGTTTGGAGTGGTATGTTTTCGTTACATTTTAACCTATTTACACTTATTAAGTTACTTGCTCTCTGCCCTACGCCTCGCACACTTCTACTCTCAAAATGTAATTTACTTTATTTTAGAAACTTTAACTCTTAATTATTTGTTGGGTTAAATTCCAAACAGAGAATATTAATTAATCACTTTCATATGTATAATTAAAACACATTGCTGATTGTCATGTGCAGTAATTCTTAATTACATTTGTACACAATTGTGGCTCAATTTTGTTAATAACGCGTTACATTTTTAAGTAACTTATTTTGGTGCTGGTATTTTATTAAATCTAAATCAAATGGTGTAGATTTAAAGTTATTTAGGACTCCTACAATTTGTCCAACAAAGTCTTCCTTTGAATATCATATAAACTAAATAAGCAATAAGGAAAACTTAATTCCTTCCAAGAAAAAGTTTACTTTGTAGTAACAGCATAGATTTTGACAATTTTTTGTTTTTAAATTAATGAAAAGGATACTAAATATAGTTGGCAACAACACATTTATATAATTACAACGTAAACCAAATACATATTATTTTTAACACTAATTTAATCCTGAGTAATAATTACCAAGGAGGAAACAAAAGTAAGGAGAGCAAAATATTACATTTAAATTTAAATTCAAAAGGTTTATTACAATATTATTAGTTGTAAAATAACAAAAAAATCGGTCAAAAATACATATTTTCAACAAAATTCCAGTAAACCTGTTGGTAAATGTACAAAATATGTATTTGCTGAATATTTTATTATTAAACCATTTGTTACAAATGTTATTTTTTAACTTTAAATTATAAGCCAATAACACGTTAAAGGTCTTAGGTACATGTATTTGTAAAGTAAAATAGGTCTAAACAAACAAACTGAATTGCCTGGGAATTTATTGACTGTACTATACTTCTATATCATTACATTTATATTCCGATTGTCAAGACCATCGAACACCAACAGTTGGGTCACAGAACTTTTGACATTTGTATGATTTTGCTACCATTATAGTTTACATTCAGATTGCAATTAGATGCCTGATTTATAACAATCCAAAATAAGAAACGAAGTGTGCTGTTGCAACTTCAATTTTAATTATCTCGAAAACAAATAAAAATAATTTGACTATTTTTAATGATACTCAATGAAGCAAGAGTCTTGCTGCAAGACCTTCTAAATAAGGTATCACTTGCCATATCATGCCTATTAAAATTTTCTGTTGTTAGCAATGCAAAGGTAAATCTATAGTAAAATATGAACCCTTTAAAACTATAGTTGACGTGTCTTTACGTTTTTTGAAAAAATTCCTGCTTACTACCCGAAAACTCCTGCTTTGTTTTCGTTGGGCCGCCCTTAATTAGCAGAATATTTTAACCCTTTCTTTAAAACGTAAATATGTTTTATAACAAAATTTTGTAACCTATTTTATTCTTTATTAAAAATGTTATGTCAACATCGGCGAATTCGCCATTTTTGCAACTTTTTACAGCTTAAAATAAATTACGTTATTTTTAGGTGGTAAAGTACCTCAGGATCGAACTATAATAAGGAGAGTATTAAGAACAGTTTCCTTGCCTCTCTTTATTTGTATGTGTGTCATATCTAGCATAGGAATATGTGCATGTATCGGACTTATAATTTTTAATGTTTGGAATAATCACAGAAGGTAATAATACAAAATAATAGTAGGTAGTAAACAAGATGTTTCGGGATTAATAGTTATTGTATTAATTAGTAAGCATAATTAGGATAGTTAATAATATTCGATGAAAATTTATATTATTATTATACAATTACTCCCAAAACACCTATATATAATAGATATATAACAAATATTTTAAATAATAATAAATGACATTTGTGTAATTAAAATCATGCTTTGGATTATTAAATAATATTATATCATTGAGTAAGATGTGACTTCTTTACTCAATGATTATATATTATATTATATATATTTTATAATATATTATACATATGTTGGGTATTATGCCTACATATTTTGGTAATAAAATAATATAAATTTGTTTTATAAATAAACTCATTTCCAAAAAAATGTAATACACTTACCGGCATAAAAAACGGGGCAGTTAAAATTTTAACGCTTTTTAATGTTTTATTATTATATGTGGTTGACATTAACAAAACATGTTTTGAGTAATTTCTTAAAACTATTGAACATTTATTTAAAGGAAAAAAGCAAGGCTTTACATTTATTTTCACACCACAAGCAGTGGCGTCACTACGGGGGTGATAATATCTCTTAAGAAAAATGGTTCGCCAATGATCTAAAAAAGTCCTTTGAAGTTTTTTCGTTAAATGTATCATTTAACAGTAGAACTGCAATTTCAATTTTCTGAAAATAAATTTTATCATCTTTTCCATCTGTTGTCTAGTTAGGTCTTTTCAGAGAATAATGATCTAATAATTTTTTGACATTTCAGAAATTAACAGTTGATTTAAGAAAACGTAAAATAAAAAATTTTAATTATTAAATTCATTCTTAGTAATTTATAGCAACAAATCAAAAATGTTTATTTTAAAATAAACAAAATTAAAAATAACACTACAAAATATTTTAAAACTAGCAACCTAAATTTAAAGCATTAAAAGACTGAAAATTTTACGAAAAAACTTCAAGAGGATTTTTTATACGTGAACCGACTGCTTATTTTTAAATTTTAATTTTTTTTTTAGATTATTGGTGTACCTTTTTTATCTAAATAGAAATATGTTCACCCCTGTAGTGACGCCACTGCTTGTAGTATGAAAACGAATTTCATGCTCAACTATGGTACCTAATAAAAAATATCACTGAGATAATTTCAATAAAATATGTTCTTTAGTTATGAGTATGAGTATCGGCATCGCCTTGCACTGATTTCCCAGAGTTATTTTTACTCCCTTTTAATCCTACGTATCCCGCAACTGCACAGCGTTACCTGTGTTTGATAGATCCGATTTTTCAGCCCGGCTTGTAAATATCTCTTAGTAGGTCGTGGATGAAAGTGTCAATATTTAAGGTCCCTCCCGGAGTTTTGTCGCCAGGCCGGGCCATACGCCCGATTTAGGCTAGTGGAGTCCGGTACAAAGGAAAAAAACATTTTGGTGGTTGGTTAGTAAGCTGGTGGTGCCTTTCTTGCTTTTTAGGTACTTCTTGTTTGTCTGCGACTATCAAATAGTTTTCGATGTTACATTTCCGACTACATTTCCAAGTTTTTAATGTTTTTTTAATATCACCAAAATGTTGCGAAAATTATTCTGGTAATTGTAAACTTCCTAAACGTTTCGTCTAGGTTTTTTGGTAGAAATTGTATTTACATTTTTTTCTAGCAATTAATAAATTGTAATTATATTAATTTTATAAATATAACTGCTTCTAACATTTGTTTTTTACTTTTGTTCGTTGCCTAATAAGATAGAGGTGTCAAGTGGATTTTATGTTTGTTCATGTTAGGCAGATTAGAACAGATTTATGGGTTTATTAAATATGTTTTAAAGGCACGTTCTTTGGTCTGTTGGCTTGTTTCTGTAAATTTTCGGTGGTAGGTACCTACCTTGTTTTAGGCATTCTTTGGTGTATTTAATCTGTTGGTTCATTTTTCCCCGTTTACCTATAATATTTTTGTTATTCCTACGGATGAAAAGGTATTGCGAATAGCGTCTTACAAATATTATAAAAATACCTATCCGTATTTCGCAGATGACCCTTTGTCCTCGTGATTGATCTCTTTTAGGTTCCCGCCACAATGAATCACCTATTCAGATGAATGGCTCCGACAGGTGGGTGATACTAAGCATTTCGAACTTTTATCCTGATCAGTAATGTGTTTCTGCCCGTTGGGTTCGCGGAACTGTACAATTGGCGTCTCCGAAATGTGAACGATTTTTTGTTGTCATGGATTTTTTTCATAAAATTTATTCGTTCATTCCTGGCTTCGGCCAGTGGTGTTACATATAGAAGGGAGAATACTAAGAATAAGAACAATATCCTAAATCGTTCTATTTTTTTAATAATATTTTAACAAACAATAATATAAACAATATAACAAATAAATTAACTTTAATTTGGTTTTATACAACAATATAAATTAACAAGTAGGTAAATACACAATAAAAATAACATAACTAAATTAACATATTGCTCAAGAAAATTGGTTTTTAAGTGAAATAGCGGCAGATTTAAATGTCAGTAAAAGCTGCATATTTTATATCAAAAAACGTTTGCAAAAACAACAAAGATTGAGAAAACCTATCAGGCAAGGTGTAGGTAAAATCTCCAACGAAAATGAAGACAATGCTCTTGTCGCACTTATTAGGCAAAATCCTTTCAATAGCGCATTTAAGGCCCGAGAAGATACACAATTTCCAGGATCTCTTCGAACAGCTCAAAAAAGATTGAAACAAGCTGGCTTAAAAAACTGTGCTGCTAAGCTATTTTAATACTTAATTGCAGAGCCATTAGCTGCCACAACCCTTTGCAACCTTCTTGGCATGGACATTATTAGCTCACGCATGTCGTATGAATCAGCAAGCTCATCCCAAGAATTTTCAACAGCACTCCATAGTTCATCTCGGTTTGCTGGCCTAAAGTCCCGTTGATATATATTTTTAACTATAAAACCCCACACGTTTTCAATGGGGTTTAAGTCAGGGCTTCTAGCTGGCCATGGCAAAACAGTTATGTGGTTGTTGTTTACCCACTCTGTAACCACGCGAGCTGTGTGAACTGGTGCATTGTCCTGTAATATAATATTTATTAGAATCGTTTTTGAATACTATACAGTTTTCTTACATGTTGAAATATAAAGTTTTCTGGAAACACATGTCTAACTGAAGGTAGCATAACGTTGTCCAAAATCCTGGTATAGTGCTCAGCCGTTAATCTACCATCAATTTCCCAACATACTCCCGGACCATGGATGCTTATCCACGCCCAAACATTTATGGAAAAGCGTCCACTATTTGAGGTTTTTAATGTATAGTTCTCCTCAAATCTTGCGTTTCTTGGACGATATACACGCAGCCTTCCATTATTGCAAGATTGGAACGTTTTTTCATCCGAAAATATAACATTATTCCAAAAATCTTCTCCATAATTTAAATAGTCATTGGCGAACTGGACTCTCCTGCGCTTATTTTCTTCAGTTAAAAAAACCTTATGAGCAGCAACACAGTTTTTTAAACCAGCTTGTTTCAATCTTTTTTGAGCTGTTCGAAGAGATCCTGGAAATTGTGTATCTTCTCGGGCCTTAACTGCGCTATTGAAAGGATTTTGCCTAATATGTGCGACAAGAGCATTGTCTTCATTTTCGTTGGAGATTTTTCCTACACCTTGCCTGATAGGTCTTCTTAATCTTTGTTGTTCTTGCCAATGTTTTTTGATATAAAATATGCAGCTTTTACTGACATTTAAATCTGCAGCTACTTCACTTAAAGACCAATTTTCTTCTAATTTGGCTATTGCCCTGGACCTCTGAGCCTCGGTTAAGTGGGGTGGCATTTTTAATATTGCAATTGACAACTATTATCAAATTTGACAACTACCGACGACACTGATGCAAAGCCCATATTACACGATTAAATTTTGCCGTTCACATTTCGGGGACGCCAATTGTACATTGTTATCCTGGTTTAATTTTAAATCAGGATAACAGTGTACTATTTATAGCCACTATGGATATATTTGTTCGTATAAGCGATACGTAGGTCTATCGCCTACAAGTGATAATTTCGTGATAAAATAGATTCTTTAGTTTACAAGAAATTAATTTTGTTCATAAAAATAAATGGGTTTTTCACCTCAAATTTTCATGCAAAAATTAAATTTGCCTGTAATTGTTTTTAAATACTAAAAAAATGACAGAAGCAAAAGGGTACAACTGCAAAAAAAAAACTGGAGTTGTTAACAAAAGTTTTTGCTATATCCAATAATCTGATTAATTGTTTCAATGTTTACATTAATCAACATGCAGAATTTGTACAATTTTCACGTTTTAAGAAAATTAAAAAAAAATTGTACTCTAAACTACCCAATTCTGCACTTATTTTCATGCTAAAATTTACTTGTACCCTGTTTCTTCTTACCCCTTCATAAGGAAAATTTTAGAGTTTTAATTTTTGGACTTGAAAAATAGATATTTTTAAACAACCGTTTGTAAATAGAATAATATTTAACAAACTCCTAATGTTTGTTGGCAAAAGTTGGGGATTTTATTTATTTTTTATAATAATTTTATAAACATAGCTTTTTTGAAACAGTTCTTAAAATATACAGAATATTGTATACAAAGTATAACGAATATTTGGATAGAGTTTATCGAAAAGGAACCAAGCGCCAAAAACTTTTTCTGGGGTAAACAAAATAACTCACTTTTAATGCTGCTTAAAAAAATAAAAATGATGAGGGTTCCCTCTCAATCCTTATAAGAAAAGTTTCAATTGATGATCGCTTGGTTCCTTCTTGATAAGTGCTATCCATTTTAAACGGATCGTTAAATATTCCATGAAATATTAATAATTGTGGATAATCGCGCTCTCCTTTTTAAATAATCCTAGATACAATTGTTATTAAAAATTACTTTACTTAGTTTAATTAAAAAAATTAAACCGTTTCGTTTTTTGTGCCGTAAGTATATGTAAAGGTTTTTGGTTAAATTTTTGAAGTAAAAATTAAAATTTTGTATTTATATAATATATATATTATATTTTGTTTTTATATAATATTATTATATAAAAGTGTAAAATACCTTAACCGCGTATTTAAAAAGCATAAAAAAGATAGTTTTTATAAGTGCTACTATACACAAAAAATATTATAAAAAAGTATATATTTTATTTTTACTTAATATAACGATAATATTTGTTAAGTCAATTGTTAAACTTAATGTACCTCTATAGGTTTATACTTTTTTATAACTCTGTTCCTAGATAAAGCCATTCTTCAGACGTCCTGCTTCTTTTCTAGAAAATAAAGAACCTTACAAACTTGTTTTCTTTTTTAGGGTGATCCAATCATCGCATCCCGTGTGCAACACGATTATGTTGTTCGGTATTATAGTTTGTTTGACTTCGGTTTTCCTTCTCGGTTTAGATGGTAGATTTGTTACCCCAGGTGCCTATCCTATAGTATGTCAGACACGAGCGTGGTTTCTCACCACCGGCTTTACTCTCTCTTTTGGTGCGATGTTCAGCAAAGTATGGAGAGTTCATAGACTTACCACTAAGGCTAAAAGTGATCCCAAAGTGAGAACGGTATGTACGTTTACAAAAATATATTTCATTTAAAAAAATGTATGTGGTTTTACCAAAGTGTGTTATTTATAAACACTTTTGCACTGTTCAATAATTTTACGTTTTCCATTTTTTTTGTATTTTAATGATTTATAATATACCATTTATTTGTAATTTTTTTTTTTTTTTAATTTGGTTAGACAGTGTAATTGTATTTTTGATTTAAACTCGTAAAAATACATATTTTAATTCATCGCCGCTCACAGAATTTATTTAAAGCAAAGCGCCAAGAGCAAATATGACCAAAAATATAAATTTTGACATGAGCGGTTGATTTGGGTGCCATTTTTGTTAATTCCTATTTGATTTCAATAAAATTTAAACATAAAAAAGTAGATATATTAAGTTACAACATTTTTTTTAACTTTTATTAAAAATTGTTCACGCACATAAAAAAATCCACCATAGTACCAAGAACAGCGCTGTCATTGAATGCATTAAAATTGAAGCAATCTAAATTGTTATTTGCTCAAATAATTACTATTAAACCAAAATAGGAAAATAATTTGCCTAAATGTCAAAGAATTAATTGCGTTAAATGTATACAATAGTAACGTTATTAAATAAATCAAATTAGTATTTAATGCAATAACATTCTAACATTCTAACAAATAAATATCAATATGAATATCAATAGATTTAGAAGCTATAACTTTTGTTGTTAATTTAAAAACAGTAAACGATTATAAACCAAGTGCTATAGTGCTATGGTATTATATGAACTGTTATTCAGGAATACGGATTACAAGATCCCATTGGTTTAATGGCTCACCCATTCATGCTATACTAGCGTTTTTTCTGTGTGTACTACTTTGTACTATTGTACGTTTTTTGTATCGTTTAAAAATTGTGCCTTAAATATAATAGTATATTATGTGTCAAGTTCGATAAACGCCATTTTATACACGAATTTAATTAATGAGTGTATAGAAAAGATTATAAATGAGGTGCATACTATACTTTTTCTACGACAAATACTTATTATTATCTTAAAATGATTTAAATCAAAAATTTGTATAGAGCGCCATCTATAAACCATAGTGGAATCTGTGTGTCACCGTTAAATGTCAAATTTTTATATTTTATAAACACAGATTATAAAGGTTATAAATCGAAATGTAGTTCTTGAAAATTGAAAGTTTTTCACAGTGAAAGTAAAGAAAATGTTTTATGAGCACTTTACAGTGGATTCCGTGCCCGAATTTAAGTTATAGTTTACTGCCGGCGAAATTAAAAGGTCAGTACACTGTTTATATAAACTTTTCAAATATTGTCGTTGAGAAACTATTTAATACTTTTGTATTTTTGTATTGAGATAATAAAATAATTTTCACATTTAGTATTATTTTACAAGAAAGGCACTTTATTTTAACGATTGTATGACATTTGACAACTGTCAAATAACTTAAAACTAACTTCAGCCCGTGACTAAAAACCTGTTGCTAACTTCAGCTCTTGACTAAAGCGCCATAAAGCCACAACTTGTCAATGTGTATTTAAAAGGTCACTTAGTGCCATGTACGGTAAAGGGCGTTTTAAAGGCGGGAGTAGAAAAAATGTTGTTGTATGCCATTCGTTCGAGAAGTGTCTTTTTGTACTTTGCTCAATTGTAGGCCTCCGCTACACGTCGGCCTTCAACTTTGAGCTTGGCACTAAGTCTACTTAAATAATTGGTAAATAATGCATTAATGCTCCACCCGCTCGTATTAAACATATTTGATATAATGTTGTTAAAATCGAAACGAAAAACCTTTCAGTTTTTATGTAAAATTAAAAATGAAATCCAAAAAGCTATTTTTTATTCATTTAACCAATGTTTTTATATAAAAATATAAAAAAAACTTGGTAACCTACTACTTATTTTTCATGGGATGTCACTAAACATATTTTATATTAGGTATAAAAATTTAAAATTAAACACATAAATAACATAACATAGAGAACGTTTTGTATTGGTATTAAGTTTAATGGTGGTATTAAATGTTGCAAAACGGTATTGTGTTTATTAGAACGTCGCTTTTAAGCAAAATAATCATGCCCGTAGACCGTATTTCATCATAAATGTTAAAATTTTAAATAAAGTTGCACTTTTAATGCAAACAAAATGAGTTTTGCGCCATAAATCAATTGATTATGGCGTGCAATCTAACAACATTATACGATATCGGTGTAATTAACATCAATCAAGGTTAAATTGTAATTTTTAATTATAAATTGTAAGCCTATATATATATATGTATTATATAAGTACCTACCTATACTGAAAAAAATAAGCTGTTCCAACAACCACAATATTAATTCAACTCTTTATGCACTTTAAATACAAGCAATGGTTTTTGCACGTTTACTTAACCATCTAAAAATGTCAAATTGTATTGTTTAATTGAACAACAAATATTATTCAAATGAACAAAATGAGAATATTTGTTCTAATCTGCTAATTTGGTTAATTAAACATTCTTGATATGTCGGAGTAATATTTCGAAAATGGTTGTGCTAACATTTTTAAGATGTTAAGGTAAATTTTTTGAAATGTCCAGGTAACCTTCTTAGCATATTTACTTATACCAATAAAATGTTAAATTAAAATAATTTGCGCTAATTTTGGGTTAATTGGGTTTGGTTAACATTCTTAAAATGTAAAAGGTTGCTATTCAAAACAAAATTATGGAATTAACATAAAGAGAAAGAATTGAACCTTCCCTCGCCAGAGTTTTTGTTTTGCGTGCGTTCCACCTACTTTAAATTCCTACTGACATACAGCTGATTCGACCTATATTGGGGGTCTTATCAGTGTCGGGCAATTTGGTGTAGTGGAAGTTCCACAGTGCACTGTGGAACAGACCTAAAACAAACCGCTACGTAAGCTTATATACTCCTATCTTAAGCCAACTGAGGCGAGATGTAAGAACATCACGGGCGTGGGTGTTCGAAGCGCCCTTCACGGCAATTTTATGAATGCAAAATTAACAAATTTTAAAGTAACATTTACAATTTGTTAAATGAACAAATTTAATGTTTTGGATTTAAAGAGCAACTAAACGTTAATTTAATAGTTTTTTTAGGTAATTCTAAAAATTTCAGTATTTGATTTAACCAATTCCAGCTATTAAATCAAAATTGGATAAACATTTTAATTCAAAATATTAGTTTATGTTAAATCAATATTTTTACTGTCAAATGAACAAATAAACTTGGACAAACTCTGACTATTGCTTTGACACCAATATATAGATCCAATAGATTTTTTGATGAAACAACATTTTTAAAAATGACATTTAGGCAAACGTTAACTCAACTACATTATTTTTTTTGGTGTATATAAATTTAAATTACATAAAATTTTAAACGGGTGATTACGTACTTTGTATTTGAACATTTTATTTTACATAAATTAATATTAAATATTAATTCGTTTAAATAAATTGTAATTATATAATTTATTTTAATTAAGTATTAAACACTAAATAGAGTAATAATATATTTTATTTACTTCTATTGCATAATTTTGTGTTTTTTTCCGTGAATATTGATAAACATTATAAATTCCCTGCCTAACAACGTGAATAACTCATTATTTACGTTGTTAGGCATCAGTGATTGGCCGATTTCAATATTCACTGTGATTTGAACCAATCGGATTTTAAATTGGAAGAAGGCGACTATAATTACATTTAAAATTGGTAAAAAGTAAGGTTAACCATTTGACAAATGTCAGAATTTATTTATTTATTTTTAAAATCATTTTATTATCTACTTATTGGAGTAGATAATACCGGTATAGTATTACACTCGAGATTATGCGCATTATTCACTCGGATGATTTGAGTCTCTCGTCTGACGACTCGTGATACAAACCTCATCCTCGTGAATAATAGCCTGCAGTATTTCTCGTATAATAATACACTATTATAATGTTTACTTGTTTACTTATTAGTAAAAGTATTAAAATAAATTATTTTACGAAATTTCAGCCAAAAAATATTATACAAACGCTGTCTTACGAAGATCAAAAACAAGTAAAAATAAATATTAACTTTTAACAAAGTTCTTAAAAGATTATGTTAAGTTTAATTACTTTTCAAAAACAGAATAATCTGTAAGGCTTTATTTATGAACTCTTGTTAAAGTTAAAAAAAGGCCCGGTTGGTTGATTTCATTATTTTTGCTTATGAGTTTAAGAAAAACCTTTTAATAATAAACTGTTCTTAAAATATTTAATAAATTAATAAAGATTTATCTACTTAATTTATTTATATTTTAAAATTAAAATAATAAATTAAATATTATTAATGAATAAATTATGCACTAAAGTGACTATGACTATAAGGGTTGTATAACTGGCCCCATTACCTCTCTCTCTTGAGCTCCGCACAATCTTCCGTTACCCTAAGCAAATTTTTTTCCGCCACCAGCAACTGCACGGCTTCACCCGTGTTTGCAGGTACTGTACCATATTTGGGACTCGAAAGCGACAGGCGAATAGTTTAAATAGCCCTTGCCGGTTTCGGGCCGTTGCTATACACCCAGTAGGATCAAATGGAGGTGGGGACGGGGAAACAAATATTTTGGTGTAGAGGGAACAATTACGCCGACTCAAATCTGCATACGACGCGGGATCCCCCTAGACCGGGAAATTAGTATTACTCCAAACATTTGGGATTACTGCTTGGAGTTGGGGAGTTGTAAGTTCGCTGTAGGGACTTATCTTCCTAGTCGTAGGCTACGGCTTGACCCTATTACTTCTTGTGAGGATCGCGATCTGCGATTCATTTCCAACCCTCAGATACCAGCGGTACCCTTTTGTGTTAACGCGTCCCGATGTCAAGTAAATTTCTTGTAGCGCTATGATGTCCAGGTTGTAATGGTCTAGTATATTGTCTATTAGGCTTCTTTTTTTACTCTCCTGCACCCGCATGCGTTTGGTATACCTATTAAATAGTTTTCGATTTACGTTTTTACCTTTGATTCTGCCCTGTCGTTGTTTGTTGATTGCGTTATTAGTTTATTTACCATTACCGACTGCTCTACTGTTTACGTTTGTGCCAAACTTGGTAGGACTGTTACCAAGTGCCAGTCGCAGCTTTGTCCATTCCTTTGAGATACTGTCGTAGTGGTTATGGATACCTAATGTAGCAAGTATGTAGCGTACTCCTATTGTTGGGATATTGTTCTGTCTGGCGGAGATCTTTTCTTTCACACCCTGTTCGTGGTATTTCAATTGCCAGGTTAAAGACGCCCGAGGCGGCTAGTATTGTTTCCACTCTAACCCAAAAGCCGTTTTTGCCGTGGTCATTTAAGTACGCATTGATTTGTCTGTCTTTGACTGTTATGTTTTCGTAACGACTGTCTAGTTCGGTTATTGAATCTTAGACATAGGGGCTAGGTTTCTAGGTTCCAGATGTTTATTTTTGTCTTGAATAGTTTATACACTTTTAATTATTGGGCCTGGTCTAAGTTTATGGGTTTTGTAACTTACTTACTTAAATAATTACTAGCAATTAATTTATTTGTTCTGCTCAACTATAGTTCCGTAAATGCCAGCGATAAGAATTGAGACGGCTTGATTTTATTGTTGTTTATTTTGTTATTTTACTATTGTCTTGTTACTAATGTTACTGTTGCTCTTAGTTTTGTATTGTTTTTTTTACTAGAGTTGTGTTTAAGCGAAAAGTAGTCAATGTTGCAAATTTACGTATTAGGTCATGTTATTTAAGAGTCCTTATCGTTTTTTTCAGATAATGGCCCTTTCCACTCTTGGTTAACCTCGTTTGTTCTTTCCATAAAATGCTTTTTAATGTCAGGTGGTTCGTCCGCCAGGTATGCTGTCACTTATCACTTCTCACTTTATCAGTTTCGTGACCAAAAAGTGTCCTTTATTTCATTGTAGATACTATGCACTATAGTTTTTTTTCACTATAGGAGTAATTTATTTTGTGGGTTGTAAAATTTGTGTTTTGAGGGAGGTCTCGGTTACGAGATTTCTTTCCTCGTCAAGAGTTCTAAATTGACTGAATAAATTATGCACTAAAATCACATTTTTAAGGGAAACATAACTACAAATTTTTTATGTCAAATATTTTTCTTGTTTACATCGTTTAAATTGTATTAATAATATTAAACTAAAAATGCTATATTTTAAAATAAACAGTTAAATTAGTTTAAAAGACCTGTTTATATTTCTCGCAGTATATATTTTGTAGTCCCTTATAATATTTTAAATTCTTTACGTAAAGTCTTACTGCAATGCCAGAATCATATATCACCAAAGAATATATGAAAAAACTCAAATGACGATTACAAAAAGTACATACATATAAAAAATGGCGCCATGACGCCATTACACGTGACGGGGTTCTTTTAACGATAAAAATCCAAAAATTTACAAGGTTGTTAGTTTGTTAAACTTAAGGTTTAAACTGTCAGAAATACATTCGTCAACCATGTCAACATCAGCTGCCTTATTTGAATTGTTCCCGTTACAATCATTTTTGTATGTATAATATTTTGCACATATTACAGCTTTAAATCAAGTACAATTGTACATTTTTGTTTGATAGAGACTTAATTTTAGTAAACTTTGGTTAATTTGAACAAAATCGGTTGAGTGGTTCCAAAATTATAAGAAAAAAAAAACTTCAACTTAAATGGCCTATATCTCCTTTATTATGTGTTTGAGATATGTATATAATTCTTGTATTGAGTCATCTTATTTTTTTTATCTCTATCAATCCTAAAAGTTTGTCGATTAAAACCTGGACCACCCTAGTAAGGAAGAAATTGGGTGTAAAACTTGTTTTTTTCAAAATTGTTATAACGAGTTTTGGTTTTGAAGGGATTTTAGTTTTAACTATTTATAAATATTTAATAAACATTTGTGAGAATGGTAAAAATAAATTCAACAATAAAATTTTTAAAAACGTGCCTACTTTTTTATTTTTTTTTAATAAAATAATGCCAATTTGGCCCTGTTCTCCTTATTGATAAATTGAAAAAATAATAGGTAAGAGAAGCTCTAAAATCTAAACAATAGGAAACCTTTTAAACATTTTTTTGATCTCTCCTTAGGTTAATGATAAATAACATTGTTTAGAGCCGCGCAACGTTGACAGGCGACCTTTAAGCGGTAAGTCAACAGGCGCATCTTTGAGTACGAAATATTTAATCAAATGCCGTTCACTTAACAGAAAATATTAAAATTGTCCTTAAACATTCTTATATATTACTTTACTACACAGTTTTAGTTTAAAATGTAATAACAAAAAAAAAGTAAGACAATATTATTTACCATTGACCCAAGGAGTGATCACAAAAATGTTTAAACGGTTCCTTAATCTTGAACTTTTAGAGCTTTTTTCACCTATTTTTTTATATCGTAGGGAGTACAAGGCCAAATAAGCATTTATTTTTATTAAAAAATAATAAAAAAGTAGCCAAAAAATAATAACATTTTTTTAACAATTCTCATAAATTTTAAATCAAATGCTTCAGATTTTTTTAATCATACATTGTAAATAAACGAGTAAAGTTTTTTTTTTAAATTTTATGTGGTAACTTTCTACTACTTAGTAAATTATAAATTAATATTTATTTTTCATTTTCATGACAATGTCGAAAATCATGGGCTCACAACTTTTACCTTTTCATAAAAATCAAAGATAACATATTTGAAAATACAGTCATTTTTAAATGAAAAAAGTTAACCTACCAAAATGGACAAATTTTTTTTAATTCGATCATTTTTGGCATAGATATTAAAGTTGTAAGAAAATACTGAGTAAACAAAAATAGAAAAACCGTGTTTTTTGTAAAATTAAAAAAAAATATATTTAAATAAAAAATATTTGAATAAAAAAAATGTGTATACTTTAGTAATATAAACGGTTTATAATAAAATTACCTACAACATATTTTTTACCCGGTAAAAACATAATATATGACAGACTCCGTTTAAAAATGAAATTTTACAATAAAGCCGATTAAACTTTTAAAACTATATTTAAAATATGTACATTTAAAAACTAATAAAAATAGAACCAAACAAAAAAGTTACAAACATTGTCTTGTTTAAACTTTTACTTTTAATTATATTTGTGTTTGATTTGGTGGTTTTGTGTAAATTTACGGAATAAATTAGTAAACCAAATTGTTTTATTAGACCAATAAACTGTGTGCAACTTTTATTTATTATTTTTTGCTTAGAAAAAGGTGGAACCTTGGAAACTGTACTCAATGGTATCTGGTTTGCTGGTAATAGACTTAATAATATTGTTGGCGTGGCAGTTGTTGGACCCACTTCAGAGAAGGGTCGAACTGTTTCCCTTAGAAGATCCGTTTAACTCGGCCGACGATTCAAAGATAAGGCCCGAGCTGGAACATTGCGAAAGTCATAACAATAATGTATGGCAATCGATAATATATGCTTACAAAGGCCTTATTCTGGTAAGTAAACATGAGTAGACTTGTAAAAAACTATTTTCATCCAAACTAGATGCGAAGCGTATGTTACCAAATTAAATTGAACAGCTCATTTATATCAATAAACATATTTGTATCTACAGTAGTGGCCATTGGCACATTCAATTTTGTATAAAATATATTAGTTGGCTGACAAATTTATATTGTGTTGATATTTTTTATACATATTTGCATGTTTAATTAAATATATTTTTCAAGCACCTGAAAAAAAAATATTAAAGCGCTAACCGAATATGTGCAAGTGTGAAAAGAAAAACCTTATATCATAGGTATTGACAATTTAATTACCTTTAAATTTGTTATTTTAAAACAAAGTTGAACAGAATCGTTTTAAACAAATTATTTAGGTTTATAAAATAATATTACTTGTTTTTGTTGAATGCATATGAAATCTATATTATTATGTATTTTAGTTTAAACTTTAATGCATAATTACTTTAAAAAATAAATAATTTAATAATAAAAATTTTGTTTATGCCAATTTTCCATGTTCTTGTATCTTTTATTTTTGTTTTACGTAGTTGTACAGAAAAGGACAACTTACTTTAACAAGAATACAAACAGGTTTAATACAAACCTATTTAAATATGAAAGGCAAAAATAGTACATTCTAGACCAGGAGTAGAAAGTCTATACACACACGGGCAAATTTACAGAAACGGAGATAAATTGGAATGTTTTCCCTATAATTTGTTTTTGTTCAAATCTTATAAGGAAAAGTTAACTAATAGCTAGCTACGTTAGTTTGTTTTGCAAAACTTCATACCATTTTGAAGCCTATTTAAGATATACAATTATGTTTTTGCAATGGATGGTACATTTAAGCTTGTTTTAAACATTTAATGATCAGATAATATTATTGTTATAAATAATATGTATTTCCTCCACGAGCTCTTATGACTGTAGTCATCCGTCTTCCCATACTTTTGATAAGGTTTTCGATAATTTCTTAAGGCAAATTATCCCACACTTCAATCGAAGCATCTCACGCGTCATCTCTGTTATGGGCAGAAAGCATTATGGTCTTCCTAGCATGTCTTATACATGCTCTACCGGAATTAAGTCCGGGTAGCATGCAGGCCAATTTATTGTCAGTATTTCCACTTGAACATGCGGGCGAGCATTTTCTTGCATTAGGAGAAAATTGTCTTCGATCTAAGGAGCAAATGGTAATATATGGTATAATGGTAATATATATGTATATTGTATATATGTTTACATGATCTTGCAGTTAATACGCCGCAATCAATTACCACTAGCTCTGTTCCTGGGTATAATTAAATTGTTTATGTTCGACAGATCGTCGATTTTGATTTACCAAACAACTCGGCAACATTACTGTAAGATCGACCATTTTCTATAATGTCTGCAGCCTAAGCAATCAGTCGGTGCTGAATCTTACATTATGGAATTTTTCACAGTTAATTTAACAACAACAAAGTTACAGTAAGCAATTACCTACTTATAAAAAAAACGACGAACTTGCAGGGACAAAACGCGTTTTGACAACTTCTCAGTTGAGGAATGTTTGAAGTTGATTTAGACTTTAATATTGACTAACTTGATAAAAATATGCACAATAAACAAAAAATATAGAAAGAAATGTATGGCTAGGCCGTACAATACTGTAAAAAAACAATTTTGCAGCACAACTCTAAACACAAAATGGAATCTCCTAAAATGTTGTATGTCATTCAGCTGACATGTCTTTTTGTGGTTCGCTCAATTGTAGGCCTCCGCTGACGCATCGGACTTTTAACTTTAAGCTCGGCACAAAAAGACTTACTTCTCAGCCTTATGATATAAAAAACTATTCTTCGAAAGTCATACATACACTTCCGTACAATAATGTATTTAGAACAAAAAAATACATATATTGTATTTTTTTTAAATAAGACAATTAACTTGACAGTGTCCTAATTTACCTTAAGTGACCTTAATTATTTGTATTAAAGTCACGTGGTGGGACTGATATGTGGATCATAATACCTTATATTTTAGGTTGCCAAAAACAGATTATAAGAAAGCTCTATAATGTTTAAAAAGACAAATATTAACATTTATACTGTGATTAAGAATATACAATATAATATATTGCTAATATTATACATGTTTTCATATAAATAGCGCACTAACAATATGCCCCAAATAAGTCTACTTATTTTATTACAAAACCATATTAATTAAATATACCAATTAAAATTATTTCAATATTTGTCACAGAAAAAAAGTTCTGACCCACTATAAGAGAGTAAGAAATTGACACTATTTCAGACTTCTAAGGGGTGCCAAATAAAAGTAAAGCAACAAAAAATTAAAACGGCAACGGATTTTCATATTTGACACCTAAAAGATCATCCTCAATTTTTTTCATTACAATAAAAAATCACGCAGCGCACCCCATTTGGTGTTGTTATTTGGAGTCATATTAAAAATGTAGTAAAGATTTTTAGGAAACTAAAAAAAATTAGAATTGTCTATCTATCTATCTATCTATCTATATCTACTATTAACTTGTTAGTTTTTTTTTTAATTTTTCATTATTTGACATGAAAGTAGGTAATTATGTATATTAAAAATAACCATTCGTAAGCAGTCTTCATATTTATTTACATTCAAGTATAATATACTTGAATGTAATATTATTATAGATCTAATTTGTAATATTTCATTTATAGATTTTTGGATTATTTTTGGCGTACGAGACAAGATCGCTCAAAGTGAAGCAGATTAATGATTCAAGATATGTTGGCATGAGCATTTACAACGTGGTTATATTGTGTTTGATAACTGCGCCAGTAACGATGGTGATTGCCAGTCAACAGGATGCCAGTTTTGCTTTTGTGGCATTAGCAATAGTATTCTGTTGCTTTCTCAGTATGGCTCTTATATTTGTGCCTAAGGTAAAAAAATCTTATCCTTTATTTTAAGTCTATAAAACTAAACTACATTTTTTAATATATCTTCATATTTAAAGGTTATTGAAGTTATAAGACATCCACGTGATAAGGCTGAAAGTAAATACAACCCAGACGTGGGGATATCCAAGGAAGATGAAGAAAAATATCAGAAATTGTTAAACGAAAATGAAGACTTGCAACGACTGATAACTCAGGTAATATAAATATAAAACTGTAAAATGGTCAGCGACATAATTTTAAATTTTTAACTGAAATATAGCAATTTTGGGTATACAACTATCAGAGGTAATTCTGTTTAATCCATATCAGTTAACCAAATAGCCAATCACGAAATTTTCAATCCTGAAAATGCAAAATTGTTAATTGGGTTTTTAACCATTTACTACTCAGATAATAATATTGGTTTTCTACTCAAAATAGACAGCATAGATCTTATCGATCGATACTAAAACTTTTTTCAAATAAATATTTTTACTTTAATGATTTGTTTTCAAATTATCGACCTTTTTGTGTTTTTACATAAACCTTTTTAAGGGTTTTAAACAAATTTTTATCTAGTTTAATATTTACAATTCTTGTGTTAACATTTTGTTTCAAAAAATAGGAACCAACAAAGATGATTTAAAAACATAATAAGGTCAATAATTTGATAGAGGTTGTAGATCTAATCGAGACTAGGGATTTAAAATTTCCCATAAAAAATCGGAAAAATTGTGAAAAAAAATTAACTTAAAAAAATGCAAGAGTTAATTTTTCTAAATATTTTTAAATTTTTACGGATAATATCTGTATCTACATATAATATTATGATTATTATAATTATTAATTATAATTCCTAATATCCAGAAAGAATATTCTACCGTGCCGCAAAAACATATTCGATGCTGTATAATAATTATAATTAACATAACTATCGTTTTATTTAACACATCGACAGTATATTTAACTTTTACGTTTATTTACCTAAATCATTTTGTTTTAACATAAACCTTCTTATTTAATATTTTTGTATTAAATATATTAACCAACAAAGACAGAGGTTTATAAAAAACAAAAAAAGTCAATATTTTAAAAACAAAACCTCAAATAAAAAATATATATTTGAAAAAAGTATTATTCTTGATAAGATCTACATCCTTAATTACGTTGTCGATATCTTTTTGTGTACCTATATAGAATACAATGTATTTTAATATTAATCCCGGCGAATTCGCCATTTTTACAAAATTGGCGAATGCGCCAGGGTAATTCACGGGAATAAAATAAAATAACAAATACAGTATATTAATTAGTTGGTTAGGCAGAAAATAAATATATTTACATAAATATATCGCCCAAAATTTAAAATGTTAACTTAATAATTATTATTTATAAATAAATATATTTATAAATATTTTCAAATTTTTACGGATAATAACTGTACGTATAATATTATGATGTTTTTTGCGGCACGGTAGAATATTCTTTCTGGATATTAGGAATTATAATTAATAGTTATTATACTATTAATTATAATTCCTAATATCCAGAAAGAATATTCTACCGTGCCGCAAAAAACATATTGGGTGCTTTATAATAATTATAATTAACATATGTTATTTAAGTTATATAACTCGTTTTATTTAACACATCGATTTATAAAATAATAGTTTTGTAATTTTACTTTATAAATCATTCAGTAATTTGTAAATAAATATTCTAATGTACTTCCTTTTGCAAGAAGGACCCAGCTGACAATATATTAAACTTTTACGTTTATTTACCTTAATCATTTTGTTTTAACATAAACCATCTTCTATGGTTGTATTTAATACTTTTGTATTAAATATTTAAAAAAGATATATTAACCAACAAAGACAGAGGTTTATAAAAAACAACAAAAGTCAATATTTTAAAAACAAAACCTCAAATAAAAAATATATATTTGAAAAAAGTATTATTCTTGATAAGATCTACATCCTTAATTACGTTGTCGATATCTTTTTGTGTACCTATATAGAATACAATGTATTTTAATATTAATCCCGGCGAATTCGCCATTTTTACAAAATTGGCGAATGCGCCAGGGTAATTCACGGTTATAAAATAAAATAACAAATACAGTATATTAATTAGTTGGTTAGGCAGAAAATAAATATATTTACATAAATATATCGCCCAAAATTTAAAATGTTAACTTAATAATTATTATTTATAAATAAATATATTTATAAATATTTTCAAATTTTTACGGATAATAACTGTACGTATAATATTATGATTATAATAACTATTAATTATAATTTCTAATATCCAGAAAGAATATTCTACCGTGCCGCAAAAAACATATTGGGTGCTGTATAATAATTATAATTAACATATGTTATATAAGTTATATAACTCGTTTTATTTAACACATCGATTTATAAAATAATAGTTTTGTAATTTTACTTTATAAATCATTCAGTAAATTGTAAATAAATATTCTAATGTACTTCCTTTTGCAAGAAGGACCCAGCTGACAATATATTTAACTTTTACGTTTATTTACCTTAATCATTTTGTTTTAACATAAACCATCTTCTATGGTTGTATTTAATACTTTTGTATTAAATATTTAAAAAAAATATATATTAACCAACAAAGACAGAGGTTTATAAAAAACAACAAAAGTCAATATTTTAAAAACAAAACCTCAAATAAAAAATATATATTTGAAAAAAGTATTATTCTTGATAAGATCTACATCCTTAATTACGTTGTCGATATCTTTTTGTGTACCTATATAGAATACAATGTATTTTAATATTAATCCCGGCGAATTCGCCATTTTTACAAAATTGGCGAATGCGCCAGGGTAATTCACGGTAATAAAATAAAATAACAAATACAGTATATTAATTAGTTGGTTAGGCAGAAAATAAATATATTTACATAAATATATCGCCCAAAATTTAAAATGTTAACTTAATAATTATTATTTATAAATAAATATATTTATAAATATTTTCAAATTTTTACGGATAATAACTGTACGTATAATATTATGATTATAATAACTATTAATTATAATTCCTAATATCCAGAAAGAATATTCTACCGTGCCGCAAAAAACATATTGGGTGCTGTATAATAATTATAATTAACATATGTTATATAAGTTATATAACTCGTTTTATTTAACACATCGATTTATAAAATAATAGTTTTGTAATTTTACTTTATAAATCATTCAGTAATTTGTAAATAAATATTCTAATGTACTTCCTTTTGCAAGAAGGACCCAGCTGACAATATATTTAACTTTTACGTTTATTTACCTTAATCATTTTGTTTTAACATAAACCATCTTCTATGGTTGTATTTAATACTTTTGTATTAAATATTTAAAAAAAATATATTAACCAACAAAGACAGAGGTTTATAAAAAACAAAAAAAGTCAATATTTTAAAAACAAAACCTCAAATGAAAAATATATATTTGAAAATAGTATTATTCTCGATAAGATATACAACCTTAATTACGTTGGCGATATCTTTTTGTATATAAAATTATTTTTTTGTATATAAAGTACAATGTATTTTAATATTAATCCCGGCGAATTCGCCATTTTTACCAAATTGGCGAATGCGCTAATACAATAACAAATACAGTATATTAATTAGTTGGTTAGGCAGAAAATAAATATATTTACATAAATATATCGCCCAAAATTTAAAATGTTAAATATTAACTTAATAATTATTATTTATAAATAAATATATTTATTTATAAATACATACATTTATCTATAAATAAATATATTTATTTATAAATAATATTTATTAAGTTAATATTTAATATTTTAAATTTTGTGCAATATATTTACGTAAATATATTTATTTTCTGCCTAACCAACTTATTAATATACTGTATTTGTTATTTTATTTTAACATACATATAAGTTCATTCAATAATAAAATTAAATTAAGTTACAATTTAACCTTTCAAATTGTAGGCGATATATTTACGTAACTAACTTTTAAAACTTCTACAAAAACTTTATTATTTAACATAATCTTAATTAAGGTAAATATTATCCATTAATGTTGTATTTTACTTCGATTTACTTATACGTTATAGAAGAAAAAGTATTTGGACAGTTTTGCCCTTTTTGGTGAATTCTGATAAAAGTAGTCAAACTGTTATTAATAAAACTTGTTGTTATTGTTTTAGACAATTTATTTAATTTATTTACAGATATAAAGAATAGTATATACTTATCCTTAATGTCATATGCAGGGTATTTCTTAATGATTTAGTTTCTGACTTAATAATTAATTTTTTAATTTTGAGAAAAAAATGTGGGTAGTATATTTACCAAATTTTCAGCACCCTGTATACATGTATTTTAAAGCGATACACAATACATTTTGTCAGAAAGGTTGGGAAACATCCTGTATAGTTAAGATAAAATTTTGTGTGTAATTGGTCTGGTAATTAAGTTTAATCGCCCTTGCCTAAATGCACTATACATAACACTAAGCCGTAGAAGCAAGTCAAAGTTCTCTCATGTATCATAAATCCTTTCTTGCCTCACTTATTATGCATACATTATAATGACAAGGTCCTGTAATAGAAATAAACTTTAATAAAATTGTCCCTATATATTATACATTTTACAAACGTCTATAGTAAAAAAAAACAAAATTTTATATAGGTATAAATTTATAGCGATGCGGTGGTATTTTAAGTTTGTTACAATTAGACGTTTAGACGTACTTTAAACAAATAAACTTGAGATGACTACTGTATTGTTTATAGACTTTAGTAAGATCAATTTAAAATTCATTAATCCTATACGTGGCCTTGCAGAATTTTTTTGGATGAAAGAAAATATCTTTACTTCAGGGTGGTCCTGTTTATAATATCAGAATTTCACCAGTGTGTCGGTGTTAAATATTTTTGAAATAATAAAAAACTTTTAAAATATTTTTTCTACAACCACTATGTGAAAGTCACATTTCGTATTGACATCGTTGTTTAGAAAATGAATCTTTTCATTGGCAAGGCAAAACACGAATGTAAAGTGACATTTCTGTGTGAAAAGTGGGTCTGTATAAAAAGAAATTGACAGCAACGTGACATTCGTTTCAAAATTTGTGTTGTATTTGTATATGTATGTCTAAATATCATTTAGAACACAATTAATATATTCTAATTTTTAAAAGTTTATTTATTTAAGTAACTTAAAACCTTAAAAATTAAAAGAATAAGATGAAAGTAATTTTAAGAGCTGTCAAACACGGTTTTAGGTTATTTTGTTTTGTATTTGAATATAATAAAAAATGAAAGGGTCATAGAAAAAACATTGTGTTTCACTTGTAATAAAAGCTTTCTTCAAGCTCGTGTTAATGCACACTCGGCCGGACGGCCTCGTGAGCAACTTAAACACTCGCATGAAAAAGTCGCTTTTTAACACTTGTAAAACAAATAACTATTGTTTATTGTCTTTTTTTTAAATTTTGGTTCGTTTAAAAGATAAATATCTAATGAGTCAAATTTTACACCAGAATCATTTTATTAATTAATTATCATTTAATTTAACAAAAATATTGTTTTTTATTATTATTGGTTTAATGAGATCTGGATAAAGTATGTTTATGATAAAAACAAAAAAATTAAATAATAAATTATTATTAAAACAGTCAAACTATTTACCGAATGCATAACGAATGAAATTACGAGTAGGAAAAACTCCATATCAGGTCATTATGTAGGTGGTGCAGGTACTAAATCTAACCCTGGGTTTTCTATTAGGGGATTATATATATTATGCAATTGCAAATCCGCGTCGATGGAGTATGTGATCAACTTTCTAGAAAGTGAAAAACCGTCAATTTTTCTGGTACGGGTTGAATGTACGAAATGTGCGCATCATTATCCTCTACACTTGGCTTAATTTGGAGCCACCCCAAATTCTGCATAGTTCCTATCGGGGGTTGAAAATTCAAAATCAAATTTCGGGAAAACTGTTAACCGCACGATATAGCCGCTATGGAACAATTTGTAGCTAGCACTCTCCGCTGCATTTTGTTTACGGAATCGGTGTCACATTTTAGGATGAAAATTAGGGGGCATTTCATAAATCAGTTTTTTCAAATTATCTTTTCGGGAAAAATTAGGTATTATTATTTACCAATTATTCTATGCAACGAAAAGCTACCACAGAAATAACTACAATTATTTTCTTAAACACACTCTTTTTATTAAGTTAAGTCAAATTGTCACTAATTGATTAACACGTAATAGCTTCTTAGAACAATTTAAAACCAATCAATGACAGGAAACATTTTCGACCCTCGAGGGTGGGTCGACGACCAACTCACTGTCCTAGGGTAAATGTAGCTGAGGGTGTGACAAACATTTTGTTGAGTGAAATTTTGTTCATTGTCAATACTTTTCTTGCAATACACAGTGGTCCTGAACAAGTCATAGGTCACATAAAAATGGCGCCAAAAACTGACTGCAATATTGGAATAAGGATGTCCTCCGAAATTTAAAAATATGTTTTTCAAAATTGCAGCTGTTTCTTTTTTTTGAAGTTTTGCTTAGTAATCCAAATATCAAACGTCATTTGGCGATTCAGTTTAGATTTTCGCTATTATATGTAAAACGAAGGCCTTTGAAGAAAATGTTAGAATGAGAAAATAAAGGTGACTTAATTATAATTACCCAGTTAAACATGAAAAACGACTAGGTCCATGGATATCGTAGGCCAATAGATAATTATATAATATATAATTATTAAATATTTTTTGAAAACATGAAAACATGAAAACTTTACAACTGCTCTTTTTTAAGTTGGGATGTGCTATGTTTATCTTCTATTTATTCCAAAAATTTTTTAAACTCGCCGTGGGTATTCTTCCAAGTGATTAATTAGTTTATGAATTTTTAAGTTTAAAATATATCAGCAGATTTAAACATAACTACTAATATTTGTATGTGAATTTTTATTTAGTCCAAATTTGGCGTTTTGGTGAAAAAATAATTCTCAACTAATTTATCCATGGTCTTAAATTAGGTAAATTGGCCAAAGGACTAACAGCTTGCAAAAAATCTTTTGTTAGAAGAGTGTCAGGATGTTTTAAAAGCATTTAACATGCATTTATCTCAAATATGTCACCTTGGTAGTTTCTTAGAAACAAAATTCAGTGTTTTAGGCCATCTCAACGTTCTTTCCCAGAAGTAGGAAAAGTGTTGCATGGCAAAGGTGATGGCTAAATAGATTTTTCTATTTACTCCTTGTTGGCAATTAAATGTAAGCAACTAATCGCGTGAGCGTATACCTCAACTGAACATACTTAGGTGCTCAATTTATTTAAGGGTTTTGCCTGCTTTTTTAAATACATAGTTTTTTAATAGATAAACCATTTTATGTTGTCCTTTTCTATTTTTTTGTAAAATATTGTTTTGGCTATTAATGTGCAAAATCATCAGTTTTTAAACATTTTGTAATTAAAAAAATATATCTACGCCAATGGTTGCGGTTGTTAGAGCATCATTTAATAGATAATTTAGTCGTCTATAATTCTTTATTTTAATTTTTTTTCCTAAAGGTCTCAGTTTTAAAGATATTCACAAAAAAATAATTCACTAAATTACAGTTGATATTTGAATTAACTTCCAAAATTAAAAAAAAGGATCAGCTACAAGTTTGAAAAACATGTTTTTAAGCTTTAGAGAGGGTCCTAATTCCGATAGCGCATTCAGTTTTTGGCGTCATTTTTATGTTACCTATGACTCATTTAGTACCCCTGTGAATAATAAGGCAATATAATGTTTAAATAAAATAGGGGATGAAAATAGGGCAAAATTTAAGCGTAGTTCATATGGATCAAACTTTTGTCGATATATTTTGTAGGGTGGAAATATCGTCGGATGGAGTTGAGCGTATCAATCGACGCAAGTTTTTAAGATATACAACTTTCTTATTTGCAGTTCGAAAAAAAATCCCCCAAAAGATAATTTAAAATAACTAATTTTTCTACCCCCAAAATAGCTACATGCGAAACCGGCGCCGTAAACAAAAATTCAGCGGAGAGTGTCAGCTATAAATTGATTAATATTGTGCGGTCAATCGTTTTCTCGGAATTCGATTTTGAATTTTTAACCCGATAGGGGTGAAAAAGATCATAATTTGGGGTTTCCCCACACTGAGAAAAATGTAGAAAATTATTATGCGCACACGCATTCAAAGCGTGCACGAAAAATTGACGGTTATTGACTTTTGGAAAAAACCACTTATTTTTGCTGGTTGGTTGATGAAATACTCCATCATTTTTAAGGGCTTCAACTTTGTCATTTGAAAGAACATTGCATGACTTTTTCCAAGTAGAAAGTTGAATTAAAAACGACTTTTTTAAATTTACTCCTGCTTTTTTACACCCAAAATAAATCCTGACGACTCGCCCCTGAAAACAAAAATGTTTCCTGTATTTTTCTGAAAGATTTACCTCACAAAGATCAAGTCATAATGGTTACGGTTTGGCAACAATTTAGGACCACTCCCAATCATCCCCTAACAAAAAAATCCCTAGGAAGTTTTGTTCGCAAAATTGGATTTAGAACCTGCACCACCTACATAATCACCTGATATTTTCTGCTCGTAATTTTTTCATCATTCGATGTAGTTTGATTGTACTGATTAATTAAATTTAATTATCAACTAATTTAATTTACAAAAAAAGTTTGCTTGATTTAATTTTATTTATTTTTATGTACCTGTTTTTTGTCAATAACGGAAGAAATAAAAAAACTCAAGAGATACAAATCTATTAAGGTCAACCAACGCCATGCATGGAAATGTTTTGGTTTGATATACATGATCAGAAAAACCCGGTATATTATTACACAACAAAAATACAATAGAGTGTGTTTTCTTTAGATAAATTATTTTTAAAAAAACCTCTTAGAGGTAACAAAACTGAAAAACTACCTTTATTTTTGGTAAAATTTGAGCTGGTAAAATTCTGATGATATAAACTGGTCCACCCGGTATAGTAATCGTTAATTCTATTTAAAAAATCCTTTTAGAAAGAGGAAAAAATCAAGCTGTTAAAAGACCGGTTGACGGAGAAGGAGGGTGGCAGCAAAGGTGGATTGTCTCCTTCCGGTATCACGCAAGGTAAGGAGATGCTGATTGTGGCTGACTTCATCACCGATGCTGGCACGTCGGACTCCGCTTTCGGTGGAGGCGTTTCGGTCTTCACGCGCTCCTCCAGGTGCAGCCAGTCAGATATCGAGTTTAGCGAAAGTTACTTGTAAAAATCGTTATTGAGAATTTATGCCTGTTAATAATGATGACGAATGCTACGCTACTCTTTTAATTACACTGTAAATTATCTGAATTAGACAAAATGTTGAGCTTGGTATTTTTTATATTAGTTATTTTTTTAATAAATTATGGGGTTTACCTTTTTTTATTATAATCTATAATAATTTTTTAAATGCTAAAACTTTTTTACAGGGTGTCCTTACAGGGTAGATATAAAAATAAAATAAAAGATTTGTTATTAAACGTATACAATATGCGGAGAAAGATATGTTTTAAAAAGCAAGTATTGTAAATCTTGTTTTTCGATGTTCACGAAAAGTTTTTTTAATGTTGACAGTGCCATATGTGTTTTGTAAATATTTTCAAATTGAACTGTTTTTCTAAAAGCCATCTTTAAATATTCCATGTTCCATGGCTTCTTTATTCACTTTATCTTTTTTTTATCATTATTTTCTTCTTTTTTTATTTTCTGTGTCTTCCTTACATATCTTTATCTTGTTTACTATCCTTTTTTATTTTATCTTTATCATTATCTATATCTTCATCTACTTTATCTACTTCATTGTCCTTTTCTTTTATAATAATCAACAAAAAATGAGTTACCTTTAGCCATAATCCATTAAATCTAATTAGTAGCAAAAGTGGACCTTTAAAAAATTATAAAAGAAAGAAATTGCCATTACCTAGTAATTCAGGATAAAATGCGCTTACTTCGCCTGGTCTATAATGCACTATTATCTTTAATGAGATCCAAGTCCAAGTGTTGAACTCAGAACCAGCGCAGTCATTATGAACAAACGTCGAGACCCAAGTATTAGACATAATTCATTTTTATAGCTTCAGCCATATTATCATTATTCTATACTTTTCTTTTTTCTGAAACATCTGAAAATAAATCCATACACAAAATAAATTTAATAGTAAAAATCCAACTATTTCACATTTAAGGACTTTCTCTGCAAAACGCACTTTTTGATAAAATTATTATTATAATCTTTGCTACAAAATTAATAAAATAAATTTGTACAAAATTTTAAAATTAAAGAAATTTGGCACCCTTATTACAATTTGATCCTAGCTAGTTTTGTAAGTCGATGAAGTTCAAAACTGCGTTTTACAGAGCAGCTTCTAATTTGTAATTTTAGACCTTTTCAAATTTATTGTCATATTTTACAAATTTCAACATATGAACAATTATTCGCTTCGAAAATTTAAAAATATTTTCATGTTATTAATTTTAACTAATTAACGAAAAATACCAGCTCTACGTACCTTAAGAAAATTGCTTGATTTAGAGAAAGCTTTCTTTCCTCTAATTACTATACAGGTTATTCCGAAAATAGTGCAATACTCTACAAGCGGTTTTTAAATTGAAAGAAAACTTTATATGAACTTCGGTCGGCAAATGGGACGTACAGCCCGAAGATGTTTTATTATTATTATTTCTGAAACGGTTTAAGAAAATATAATATATTTTTGGAAAACACACATAACCCAGTAAGCACCAAACACTCGGCAAACAGTCGGCCTTCGGTCGGCATAGGCGGTTGACCAGCGGTTCGGCTTGCCCCAGCCGTCCCGCTTACGGCCCGCGTTATGTTACCCCGGAACCGTTTAGCCATGTTCTAACCGAAGTCGGCCAAAATACGGCCGCTGCAAAATCCTTTGGCTTGCCCTAGCCGGCCCGCTTACGGCTGGAATACGGCCGCGGCAAAGCGATACATCTCACGGCTGCTTACGCACGCGAGCTAACTATAAATAGCGATTGGTTGCAATAGTTAGTTGGAAGTGTGCGTCCGTAATGGCATAGCTGAACATTAATTGTTTGGAGTCCCCATCTCCATCCTCATCTGCTCTACACGCCGGAAGAAATACGTATGTCGGGCCGCACGCGGCCGATTCGGCAAAACGTGTTCGGGCCGTATGCGGGCCGGCTAGCTTGTGCTTACTGGGAACTATTTGTTTAATAATATTTTTTGTTAAATATACTAAATTAAAAAAGAAAAAAACTATTTTTTTTTTAATGTTTTATTTTATTTTTATTCGAAAATGGTAAATTTTATTAATGTTCAACAATATAAAACTCTAAATTTTTTAATTTTTCAGCCAACTTGCAAAAAAAATTTCACACAAAAAATGTTGTGGCTAGATTTACCCTAGATTTACCATGGGTCATAATCATATTTATAACAAGATTTCTTCCAATTATGTCTTTAGAAACCACGTTGAAAGTATTGCACACTATTTTTGGGAAACCCTGTATACGTTAGGGTGACCCTTGATGTGAGTCAAAAAATAAAATGCTTTTTACCAAATATTGAAAAAAATGGATACCATTTAAAAAAAAAATGCGTTCTACAAAATTATATATTTTTTTAAAATAATTTATATACTATTTAAGGAGTAATAAGCGAAATAAGGCGCTACAGTAAGTAGACATGGTTACTTACTGTAGCGCCTTTTTTCTTAAATAAATAAATATTAAGGGCCACCCTAATATACATAATATGAGCAATTCCACAATACTCGGCAACTTTAGTCGCGTCCGGACGCATCCGTAATAATCAAAAATATTGAGTAAAAGCTAACGTAATTCAATTAAAATAGTTACTATTGGAAACTTGTTTATATGCTTGTAATAATTAAGCTTAAGCTTATAAGCAAGTACTTACAATTTTTGATTATTAAATTGCCGAGTAACGTGGAATTGCTTATATAAAAATGTTAATTAATTAAACCTAGCACTATTAATCAATGGATTTACAAAAATTAAAACTTATTACATTGCACAAAATAAACCTTTACAAGTAGTTAACCTTATTGACAATCCTTTTAGGGTAAATATTCCTACTAATTTACCTAGTAAACACCTTACATATAAGAAAAAGATTTAAAAATAATTATTATAAGTGTATAAAATTATAAAGTCAATTATCTACATGAAGCCTAAACTAAATAAATCTTAAACCACTTTTAGAACTTTATTAAAATGTTAATATTATAAGCTTAAGAACTAAATGAAGTAGATAAAATAACATTAAGGCATAAAACATATATAATTTTAACTTTATAGAAACACATTAAAATTGCAATTAATAACTAATCTAGCAATATTAAATAAAATTTAGTATTATAACGCAAAGTTAATTATACTAAAATGGTGAAAACTCTTCTTTTAACTAAAATCCGATTTTGGAACACTTAAATGAAAGTAATCTCGGTTTGCAAGGAAAAACTTTTAAAAAGCTCCTATCTGACTGGTTGCAATATATATTTTTAGCTTTTACCATTTTGTCCTTTGGGTTTCGTTTTGTTTTTAGCCTAGAATAGAAAACTTAAATTATCTCGTTATAACATAAAATAATTTAGAAAGAAGAAAAATCTCTTTTTCTCCCAAAATGGCTGCTAATCTTTATGTTGTAACGAGATCGTAGTTTTTAGATGATGATTAGATTTTGGGAGTGAGATATTTTTCTTTTTGACAGATACAAAAGACGAGAGAATATAGTCCACAATCTCACGAAGAACTTATTGACTAAGACTTCAATCGGTAGGTATACAAAAAAATTTGGGAATTTACAAAAACCTAATCACTCACTACTTTTGCTTTTACTTACCTGCAAGGTACTCAATAAATGCACAAATTCCTATATTTTCCAAAATGATTTAACTTATAAAGAAAAGTTAAAATGAACGGATGTTTTACAAATAATACAACGATTTAGAAACAAAGAAGAATCATAAAGAATCTTTACAAATCTCTTCATTTAAAATTTTCTTTAAAAAGACAATATAACAATTAATCTAGCATAAGTACTTACCTAAAAAATACATAGGATGTTTTTTGTGTGAATAAAGCATATTATGCTTCATTAACACAAAAAACGGTTTATCAATAAATGAATAAGTTTTGCTATGTGTAGTATCTTATTATATTTGAGATTTGTGAAAATCGTGATAAAATATATAATTGTTAAATCTGTGTCACAACAGATTATGTAAGTCAATTCAATTAAGACATTAAGTCAGGGATTTTTTTCTCGTTGTTATCGAATATTTTGTTGTAAATAAAACAAATGTATTTTGATGTTAAATAGATGCTTGTCGTGCATTCATATAAGGCGTAGAAAAATATAAAATAATGTTTTAATATTACTGTTCTGACGACAAAAAAAATTGGTCTAGTAATAATAACCATTTGCCAGCAAAAATGAAAAGTTTAAGTACAGGCAATCTGTTCCTAAGCGTTAGTTTTTGTTCAAGACAAAAAATGTACACCATAAAAGTTACCACTAAACAACATTTTTGAGTCAATCCATAACAAATAACAAATAATGGTTGGTGATTTTTTTCCCAAGTTTGTGCTTTTCTTAGAGACTTCATAACAGCCTGTTATTAACAGGTATCGAAAGGGAAACTGAATGTTGTTACCAAAACTTGTAGCAAAAATCTAGAAGTCGATTTTCTGTCCAACTCGCTGCCAAAATCTGCGTCAACATAACAAATCAGATTTTCTGATCCTCTTCGTTTGTAACAAAGTTTGTAATTCAGCGTGCCTATTATAGCGAAGAATTATTTTCAAACCTTTCCATCGTGCTTCATTTTGATCGTGATGGTACCTACTAAAGTAATTAACAGCAAAACTCAGGTCCATTGCAGTACATTAAACAACCAATGAGTTCTCTGTATGGTATTTCTTCTGAACTTAGATTTTCTTGATTTTCAGAAATAGGCATCATATCTATCGGTGTGGTCGTTTTATTTTAAAGCGTTCCAGCAATTTTTCAAAGTAGCTGCGTTGACTCAGTCGTATCTCGTTGTCTGTTCGTTCAATATTGATAGCGAGAAAAATCCGTGAAGTACCAAGATCCTTCATAGGAAATTTCATCTTCAACCCATCTTTGACATGTTCGATTTTTCTGATTATTTCCTGCAATGAATATATCATCAACGTACAAAACCAGAAAAATGCAAATATCATTTGATCATAGATGACCAAAATATAAAGACATTTGTCCACTTCATAATTTTGGAATCCTAATTCCTTCAAAAAATATCAAAAGTTTTGTTCCAGGCTCGAGGTGCTTGTTTCAGTCCATAAAGGGATTTCTCAAGTTTGCAAACAGAATTTTTTCTGCTTTTATTTTCATGTACAGTTCCTCTTTAATTTGACCATGTAGAAATGCATTTTTGACATCCATGTGACAGGTCAAGAGATTTTTTTCAATCAAAATCGATAGAAGAGTTCTCAAAGTTGCTAGCCTGGCGACGGGAGCGTATGTTTCTTCATAGTCGAATCCTTGTTGTTGTGCACATCCCTTGATCACCAGCCTTGCCTTGTACTTCTTAAAATTCTTGTCCTCATCATGTTTGACTGAAGAGTGGTCAATTATCAAGTTTTATTTCCAATCAGCGCGTCCATTTCTTCTTTTACAGCTTGCATCCATTCCTCCTTGTCTATACGGGTTGCAATATCCTCAAAATTCTTTGGTACAACTTCTACGAAAGTTTCTGCGTGCATTGCAATCGTTTTTTTCTTTTTGATTTTTGAAATTGGTCTTCTAAAATTTATGTTTTCTTTGTATTTTTGTGTTCGGAAATTTCTTCATATTCTTGTTGTTGATCTTCTAAAATTTCTGTTTTCTTTGTATTTTCGCTTTCTGAATTTCTTCATATTCTCTTTCTTCTCCCTTATCCTCTTCCCTATCTGGTATTATGGTTTGAACCGCTTCTGACCTAAATGTTTTTCAGAGTTTGCAGTTCAACAGCATGGCTTTGTCTAAAATGGTGCGATTCATTCTCTCCGCAACTCCATTTTGCTCTGGGGTGTATCTAATTGTGAATTCGAACTGTACTCCGCAATTCTCAAAAAATTCTTTGATTTCTTTCGAAATATATTCTCTTCCATTATCACATCTGAACCGACTTATTTCCATGTTGAAATGAGCAGTCGCCATTGCTTGAAAAATCTTTAAAATATGTAAAACTTTACTTTTAGAATTCAAATTGTAACTCGCAGTAAAATGTGTGTAGTCATCAATAAAGGTAAGTACATATTTCTTCAAATCATGAGAAATGGGATTAATGGGGCCAATGAGATCGCTATGCACTAATTGCAGTGGTCTTGTTGCTCGTTGTCTCTTGATTGTGTGGCTGAGTAGGTTGTTTTCCTTCAATGCATACTGGACATAATTCATTCATTTCGAGTTTTCTTAAGCTGGGTTCTAACAGAGAAATAACGTAATATAATTTAATTTAACTTTAAAAGTAATTTAATTTAATTTACTTGCGTTCATACAAAAAGTAACGTAATTTAATAGTGTTTATGTAAACTTAAAGTTTTAGATATATATGGCTTACTTTGGTAATTACAATCGAAATATTTTTCTTCTTATTACAACCGTTTACACAAAATAGGTTAGATTCTCCCAAAATAGGTTAGATAATACTAAATAAACTTGAAATAACGTAATTTAATTTAAAAGATAAAAGTTGGCCAACTATTAAATTAGGTAAGTCTTAAATTACATCACTGTATGAACGTTACAAAGGATTGTTGGGTTTTTAACTTTTAAGTTAAATTAAATTTCATCTTAAATTAAATTACTTTTCTGTTAGAACCAGGCTTTACCGACAGAAAATTGAAAGTTTTTGTACAGACAGAATATCTTTTACCGTTATCGTATTTTTCTTTCCATTCACTATACTTGTGAGTTGAATTTTGCGACTTTAATTTTAACTGGTGCGTCAAGTTTCTTTGTTTTGAATAGCTTAACAGATTTGCTTATTAAATGTTCCGTTGCTCCCGAGTCGAGAACCCATTTCACTTTGTCGCTTGTGTGATTGCCTGTCAAGACTGAAAAACAATAATTGCTATCGTTTTCTGGTGCTGTCGCAGCGCACTCTGAGAATTTTTATTTTTCATGTCATATGCCCTTTCTCTGCATTCGCTATAACGATGACCTCGTCTCTTACAATAGTGCAACTGAAAGGGAACCTTTGCGATAAACTTCCTTGTACTTTTGACCAGGTCTCGGATACCTTTTCTGCTGCGTGGCGAAAGCCATCGATGAAGGAAGTTCTCCGCCACTTGTATTTGTCATTCTTTTTATTTTCTTTATCTAATAATCTGTTTTTGACAAACGCGACAGTTAAACTTTCTTTTGACAAAGTTTCAATAGCTGTTACCACATTGTCATATTCGGGGGGCATTGTCAGCAAAAGATGACAGACAATATCAATTTCTTCCAATTTTCCACCCGTTGCAAATTTCTAACCATTTTATCAAATTTCAAATATGATTTTCAAGAGTATAATTTTTCGCATCGAATTTCAGACTTAGAAGGGACTTACGTGTAAGTAATTGACTGGCAATTCCTTTTCGTTGAAACGTATTCTCAAGCGTACTAGATTTATCCTTGGTGTACACCAGATGACTCTCGGCGATCCGCTGGATGATTTGAGATTTTCATTTTCGGTTTTTTTTTCGTGTTCGGCCAATTGCTGTTGTTTTGCTATTCGTTAATGTTCGCTGTCACTTTCGAGGAACTTAACTTTTTCTTTGTATGCTTCGGTTACATATTGCAGTAAATCCTTTTCGTACAATAGGGTTTCAATTCGGAACTTCCAATTATCAAAATTTGTGCCGTCAAACAATGGGATTCTGTATTTTTCTAGCTCTGGGCCCATAACCTGTAGACTTAAGTTGGAACGTGGAACTTGAAATAATACTTTTATATATCTGATTCCAACTTTTATTATTAAAAGTTTTTAATTACAGCAACTTAACAAAGTATTTTTATTTGTTTCTTTTCCTTTGACAATAAAAATAAGAACTACTTGATATTTATAAAATAGAAAATAAGATTAAATTGTCAAAAACCCAACAATTTTATTTGGATTGACCATTTTCTAACCGTCAGAAACAGCAACAATTTCAATACTTTTAATTAAACAAAAAAGTTTTTTTAGTTTTAACTGAATGGGTTGTGCCGGTTAGGGGTAGGAACAGACCGCGGGTTAATATTAATATATTATTATTATTAAAGATTTAAATCATTATTTATTTATTTATTTATTTTTAATTCAACATCTAAACGCCTTATGTGAAGAAGTTTAAAATTTAGAATATCTAATGAAGGCATATACATTTATTTAATATTTTTATAGGTTCAATATCTACTTGATGTAATAATGCTTCATAATATTTGCGCCCTAGATTTTCTTGTATGTTCCAAAATATTTAAATACTCTGTTTTAATAAAATACATTAAAAACCAATATAATCTAAAAATCGAGTTTTATGTGGTATTTACTAAATATGAGAAAATGTTAATGTATTTTATTACCACCCGGTAAATTGTGAGCTAAGGGTTCTTAGCATGTTACCTTATAGTGAGAAAAATCGCTCAATGTGTTAGTGATATCGTTTATGAAATTTATTTTAATTATGATATTTATTTTCTTAAAAATTGCAAGGGGATGTTGGTTAAAATTTGCGACTTTACTTTTTAAAGAAAATGATCTTAATAGAAAGCAATAAATTCCAAAGGTGCTCATGATTGCTTTATATAAAGATCATCTTATAGAAAGTAAAATCTTAAATTTTTAAAAACACCCTATAGGTATTTTAATTTTTATTTAATTTTATAAATAATTTACTAATGTGTTCTAATTCTTGTTAAATTGTAAAAAATTATAAATAAATGTTTATTTAGTTTTAATATAAGCTCATTGTCAGATACATATTTCAGTTCCAAGCAACTGCCATCATAATTAATACGGACAAAATTTGTTCACCAAGCAAAAATTATTGCAAAAAACGCAATAATTTTTGTTGGTGAATT